TCCATCCCCCTGAGAAGGGGTTGTAGCTAGGTCACTGTGATCGGTTCCCCCTTTTCCCCCTGACCTTTCCCTTACCCTCCTGGTATGGCTACTCCCAATACTGGTCCCGGGGAGTTTATCTGTCCTGGATTCCCTGTGTTTCCAGCTCTTATCTGTACTCATGTACATGCTCTGGTCTAGCCAGATTTGTAAGGTAGAATTAGGGTCATGATAGTTGGTGGGGGGGAAGCATTAAAGAACCAGAGGAAAGATGTATATTTTATTGGTAATACACTGTACCCTGAGTGGCCTGTCTTCTCCCCACGACCCTTCTGTAAGGGGATGTCCAGTTGCTTACAGATTGGCTTTGAGCCTCCCTTCCGCACTCCCCCCACCCCCTCATTCACATTATGATTCTTTGCTCTGGGTGCAAAGTCAAATTTTGTATATAGATTGAGACAGCCAGAGAAATGAAACAAAATGATACAATCTATTAAAACAACACAATTTCAAGCAGGGGAGGCAGGGAAGAAGTCATTGGCTCTACAGCCTGAAGACACAGAGCAATGAGAAAAATCAAGATGAATGTTTGGAGAAGGAAGTAGGATCTAGAAAATTCCTGAAGAAAACCATCAGGGCACTGAAGAGGAGATAAACAGATCAATTACAATTGTGGGATATGATTGGAGTGAAGACTTAAGGAAAACAATTCCCCATCCTAACAACTCTGAGGAGACCAGGTTTCTTGATGTGAAGAGTTTTCATTTCTGGTTGGGACAGTGGCCATCTCCACCCGTAAGCAAAGTCCAACACAGAGCAAGCCACTAAAGTTGTGCAGGAACTCACAGTGCCAAACATCTTTCTCTCTTGATTTGGTTAGGTCATCTCAAACTAGGTCACACTACCTCCCTGGCACCTTAGACTAGCTCATCCCTTCACGTATCTCTAGCACGTTGAGTCTTGGTCCTGCCCAGAGACTCCTTATCTCTACAATTCTCTAAACCTCCGACCAGCCTTGCCTTCCTCTTCTCTCTCATTTCCAGCCTCTGTGGACCGGGTCACTTGGGGCCAATGAAACATATCCAAATTCATCCCCTCTCTTCACCGCTGTTTCCACTTCCACTCAACAAGTGGAGCCACGTGATTGCCTTAAGACGCAAGCCAAACTGCTTGCTGGCTCCCCTTAAGGTTCAGACTTAAAAGGGGGCTTTCTCTGATGGGTACAGACTTTTCCTGCATGGATGCATCAAATAACAAACTACTTGCTTAAAATTTCTTTAAAAACAGGGTTTCTTTTCCTGTAGGACTTAAACCCTCAAATGTAAATCTGTTCTCTCAGCATTCTGCGTGGGGCTCAGGTTTCCATCTAAAACTCCAACTGTACTTGGGCTTCGGGCTTAACATAAAGCCCGTTTCTTCCAGGCAATTCCTTACTCCCCTTGTAGCATATCCAGTCGAGTGTGGGCTGAAGGCTGACTTTTAATCTATTTGGAATCATGATAATCACAGTAATCTCCATCACACAGGCAGGTCTATTTTATAGTATGGTCCATAGTGCAGTCAAATAAACGCAAAACCCTTCACACTTCTCATAACACCCAAATTTCATCTTTTCTTCACCACTGGACTGTTTCCACTTAGGTCCATATAGATGGCCTTGGGCCTCTGGCAGTGAGGTTCCGGCAGTCCTGGCCATGTACTAATCCTCTCACTGAACCAGCCTCGCTTTGGCCCCAGCTTTTCTCTCTTCAGCTGCAGCTTATAATTGGTAACATTCCTTTCAGCCATCACAGGCAACAATAACCACAGCAATCATCTATGAATCCAAAGTTTTATTTCCTATGCCCTTTGTTCTTTCTCTTATAAAGCCTCCTGCTTCCAATGAGTCTGAAGTCATTGCAACAACCCACACTTTGGACACCAATTGTCAAAGAAAAAAGGAATGAAATTCCATGGGAGTGACATCCGACCTTCTCTATCCATAAAAAGGGAAAGGAGAATAAAATCCTGTATCAGC